TTATAAGGAACTATATGTGACCCCCTCCCTGGGGGATGGACAACAGAAAAGTGGGTGAAGGGAGACGTCGGGCAGGGAAAGATATGACAAAATAATAAATTATAAATTATCAAGGGCTCATGGGTGGGGGGAGTGGGGAGGGAGGGGAAAAATGAGGACCTGATGCTGGGGACTTAAGTGGAGAGGAAATGTTTTGAGAATGATGAGGGCAATGAATATGCAAATGTGCTTTACACAATTGATGTATGTATGGATTGTGATAAGAGTTGTATGAGCCTGTAATAAAACACTTTAAAAAAAAAGATATTTCCAGGGTTGTGTTGCACCCAGGTAAACTATGATCCATCATTGAGGAGGTTGCTAAGGTGTGTTTCTTCTAAGTGGCATATTAATTGGTCCTATTTATTATACAATATAAATATTTACACAATGTAAATATAAATATCTCTATTTTTTGACCTGTGCATTCAATCCTTTACATTCAGTGTCATTATTGATAGATATACAATCATTATTGTCATTTTGCTTTCCCTCTGTGTGTATGTGTGTTGGTTTCTTTGTTCCTCATAATTTTCTATGCTGATTTAATTTATTTCTTTTCATTTTCTTCTTTGATGTAATTTTATTGTCTACTAGGTTTTTGTGATTTTCCTCTTTTTCATTTTGATGAGGTTTTTCTGTTTACTTTGAGGTTGTTTTGTGATTTATTATTTATTTATTATTATTCCCAATTTTCTCTCTTGCAAACTATTTCACCTCCTCTCCCTTAGAATATTTTCTCTCTTACATCATTCCTGCTATTATTTTTTCAGACATCATGCAATTCAATATTTCAGTCATATCAAGAATTGTACAATTTCTACCACAGTACCCAAATGACCAATAACCATAAGAAATCAAAGCTTTAGTCAAAATACTAACAGACCACTTGAATCCAAGTTTCCATTACCCTGAGGCCACAAAAACTAGATGGGGCCCAGCTACTACATTTGACTGCTCTGACAGGGATCATATTAGAAGTTTCTGTGTAGAGTGAGAGAAAAATGTGAAATAAAACTCAAAGCCTTGAAAAAGGCCAGGCTTACTAGTAAGATAGAGACCAGCAGAATCCTGAGACTATGGCTCCTAGTTACCTTCCAAGTTTGGAAATGAACTCACCCATAGCTTATTTTTCAGCCAAACTGAAGGCAGATAGGTCTACACCATGAAGAGTAACACTAATAAAGTATGTATTTCTCTGTATACTAGTCAACAATTTGACACAAGAGGCAGCATTTGACCAAGGCCAATATTCAGAACACAGAAACATGTCAGAACAAGAGGTGGAATGAAAATGGGGAACCCACGTAAGAAGTGGAATAAATTATATTGCATTGTGGGGATTGTAATCAATGACAAAAAATGTTTGAATAGTTTAATACAAAACTGATTTTCTCTGTCACCTGCTATGCAAACCACCAAAGCAAATGAAACAACAAATTAGAAAAAGGTTCATATCATCATTAGAGATCAAGGAACTGCATATTAAAACTATAGCAAGTTAACATTACATTCCCACTACAATGGAAACAACTAAACATATACACATCAACACAAGCAAATACATACACTTACACAAAATTTCTAGTACTGATGAAAGTGTGCAGCTGTTGAAACATTTAACTATTATTGGTAGAACTGGAGAAAAATATACCCATTGTGACAACTGTTTGGCACTTTTCACTAAAGCTAATAATGTACCCTTCCTCTCACCTAGCAATTTTGTCCTTAGGAAATATAATTGATTGCAAATGTCTTCCTAATGATATGTACAAGAATATCCTTAATAGTGTTATTTATACTAGTTTAAAAACAGATAAAATCTAAATATCACCCAAAATATCTAAAATTGATGTATCCATACAATGAAATATAATATTATAAAATGTAGGAAACTATGTCTGTTTTGGGGGTGAGTAAAAAAGTATTACTACAAAATCATAGAAGTCTTTATTAAACAAAATATAAAAATATAAAATCATGAAGCCACTCTTTCTTCACAAATCCTCCATCTAGGTCTAGAAACTTCTGTATTTCTGTAGTATTTCTAGTTATCTAAGCCTTCTCCAAAGAATTTTATACCTTTCAATATAAACCATGTTAAACATATAGATTTGGCATCCTTGTGCAACTGAAATCATGTTACTTTAAAAGAATTTTTGAGTCTTTGGAACAAAAATAAGTCTGAGGGAGTAAATTTAGGGCAGCAGAGTTGATGAGGTAAGGTTTCTTAATGAAATTCTCATTGGGCAGTCTTTGATATTAAGCATTGTCGTGATGAGGGAACATTTTTTGTGCTATTTCCATGGTCTTTTGCTCATTAATGCTGTTCTCAAGCTTCTTAAAACTTCTTCATAATATGCCCCTGTGGTTGTTCTGTGTCCTACTAGAAAATCTGTCACTGTGTAGATTCCCACTCACAGTCACCCTAGGGGACAGAGTAAAATACATCCTGTGGTTGTCTAAGACTGTAAATCTTTACAGGAATAGAAAGTCTCATATTTCTCCCGGGAGTTGCTGGTGGTATTGAACTGCTGACCTTGTGGTCAGTTCCCCAACACTATGTTACTAGGGCTCCCTTTGAGAGCCCAAGAAACCTTTTCCATACCCCTCTGAACTGACCTCTCTGTCTTGAGTTTAACTGGCCCAGTAAGTAAATCGCAGGATCTACTGTTTTCCTTGGACCCTATGCTCTGGGTCATATCAGTAAGTTCAAGGCTCACCCCCTATTTTAAATTCATTTCATAAAATTGGTACATATTTCTCTGAATATCCAATTGTCTTCTTTAGTTTCAATCTTACTTAAGATTGACAGGAAGATAAAGCCATTGATCTAGCTGATCTTCATGCAACACTTTTGTACCCATTGACTTGAAAGCTGGCTCTGGCCAAACTGTTTGCAAAAAATTAAAAATGATGAATCATGTGAGATGACCACTACAGTAGTTTGCACGACAGTGGTAACTATATGGTCTTCTACCAGTTTCTGGATTTCAGGCACAGTTTCTTCATTTCTTGAGCTTGATAATCATCCCAATCTTCCTTTAAACATTTGATCCATCTTATAACTCTCATTTTATGGGCAATGTTCTCAGAATTTGAAAAGCTTCAAATATTTGGGAAGATACCCACTTGACTTTTGTTTAAATTTATTATTAGCCCTGACTTCAAAATACTTTTCTTCCATGGTATTTAGTTTTTAATACATCATAATGAAACAAAGATAAATGTGAAGCTGATAATATTTGGCTTTAGTCATCCACATATTGCCAATATAAATATATATATATATATAAACTGGAACTATAGTAGCAATAAAATTTGATTTACCCCTATGATTCTCAAAGTGATTATATGACTGATTTTCCAAGTATAGTTCTAATGCAAAGATACCAATCAAAAATATTACATATTGTGTTATTTAAATTATACAACAAACCAATCTGTAGTAATAAAATGAGAAAAATGATAACCTTGGAGACATGGAGGCTTCTTCAGGATTATTGGTAATGTCACAGTTTGGTCTGAGTGATGTTATAGTTACCCCAAATTAGCATTCCAGCACTATCTGGCAACCAAATCTTTAACAATTCCATTCAATATATACTATACTAGCCAATGGAGCGCTCTACTTTTTCAGGCCACTTTTCTAGAATAACCTCCATGCAAAAAGACCCTGGATGACTCCACAGGTGTTGGTCTTATACCTCTTTGAGATATCTGCTCAACCATGTGGATTCAGAGTTGAGGGATGGGTAACTTCCAAAACAGAGGACTGAGGGAACAAGCAAGGACAAAGATCAAGTGAGTCTCTGTCCAGACTCAGAGTTCCTTGCCCAAATTTAAGTTACCTCAGCCAAATAGCCTTCCCTTCATGAACCAGCTCTAGTCACTGGAAGAAAATTTAGGAACTATCAAGAAAGTTCAGGATCCTGTTTCTCTGGTAATGCATAAGTTTATATACTTGTAAAAATGTATAAGTGGTCCAATAAAATTCTTGTACTTTTATACATATATATGCTAAACTTAAATTTTGAAAAGGAAAAAAATCAATTAAGCACATACAGTGTGAATAACAAGGTAAACACTAACCAAATTACTAACATTTGATAGGATATTGAGATTCACCTGATAAATGAAAAGGAAGAAGTGCACATTTAGAAAGCACTGGATTTTAGCAGACACTTAATACTCAGAATGAATGAACAGAAAAAGGAAGGTTGTGAGCCTGTGAACAACGGCTATCTAGAACATTACACTTGGCTTGGAGAAGGCAATAGAAAGGTATAGAAATTTACCTCTTTGAGAGTGTACTGAAACATCTTAAATTCCAAATCATGTTGATGTTTCTATCAGGTTCTCAGTAATCCTTAGCACACACACAGAAGAATTCACTTTGAACAATTGCCTAATTATGGAAAAGTCTGCATATCTGTGACAAACCAGAAACATTCCATATAATGCTGATTGTCAAGGAAATTTCTCCAAATTCCTCTCTCCTTTTTATATTAGTCTTATTAGTTTCTGCCATAGAATACAGTATTAATTGAAATTTATAGATAAAAACAAGTAAGCAATCAAAAAAGAAATAAGAGACTCTGTGAAAAGCATTTAAAAAACACCTTGTCTTCCCTGATTCTTATAATATACATCAATTTGAAAATGTGGCCAACAGAGTTAACTATCTGTAAATAAAAGGAAGCATTTTGTTCGACATAATAATCTCTACTACATCTTGTTCTTTAGAAGTTAAACATAAACAAGCAAACAAACAAAAAACCAATCCTAAAGAAACCTTGTAAATAAATGACCTCAGACTTTATTATTCCAGGAAACTTCACTGTGATTTTTCTGATATTCATCACATTGTGTGGCTTGTAGTGTATTGTTTGTGGTTGCAAGATTCTGGAGTGGACAAATGATCTCGTTTCCACATTACTTTTGCATATTTATGAGATAATTTATGTTAGTCTTTTTTTGAAAAAGACACTTGAAACCCGCTCCCGAATCTGCTTGGTCCTGACCCCATAAATAACAGGATTGAGGGCCGGTGGAACAACAACATACAAATTGGCCAGAAGAATGTGAATATATTTGGGGACATTCCTGCCAAAACGGTGGGTCATGAAGGAAAAGAAAGCAGGTATGAAGAAGACCAGGATCACACAGATGTGAGAGCCACAAGTATGAAGCGCCTTTAGCCTGGCTTCTCGAGAAGGAAGACAGAAGACAGCCCGGAGAATTCTCACATAGGACATGGCAATCAGAATCACATCCACGAGCACCATCGATATAAGAATTAAGCCAAAGATCATGTTTACCTTTATGTTGGCGCAGGCCAGCCTAGCAATGCCCATGTGCTCACAATATGTGTGGGAGATTATATAGTGTCCACAGAAAGGAAGCCTCAGGATAAGAAAGACCATAGGGATGACCAAAATGAAATTGACGCCAAACACCACCACCAGGACAAGACCAATAGTTTTGTTAGTGAGGATCAGGCTGTACCGGAGAGGGTTGCAGATGGCAACATAGCGATCAAAGGCCATGGTAACCAACACAACAGTCTCCATTGCCGTGAATATGTGGATAAAGAACATCTGGGTGACACAGCCCCCAAAGCTAATCTCTCTTAAATTAAACCAGAAGATGCCCAACATTTTGGGGATTGTGGATGTGGACAGTCCAAGATCAATGGAAGCTAACATAGCCAAGAAGTAAAACATGGGTTGATGAAGGCTATTTTCAGTCTGGATCACAAACAAGATAGTGATGTTCCCCACGAGGGCAATCAGGTACACAGAACAAAAAGGGAGCCCAATCCAAACGTGCATCTCTTCAAGGCCTGGAACTCCTAGCAGGAGGAAGAAGGAGGGGTGGAACTTGGTTTCATTTGACTCAACCATCCCTTCTTTGGTTTGTGGTACCTGAGAGAAAACAAGCACATTGACAAAGAATTTAAACGTTCAAATGACATAAAATAAAGTACAATGCATTTATAGCGGCAATTAGCAGGAAATCATGAAGGAGAATATTTGCTAGTCTTTGAATTATGAATTCATTTAAACATTCAAAGTTAAATTTATTTTCTAATAAAAAAGCCAGGCAAACTTTCAAATTTAATTTTATCCTATTTTGTTGGTGTGAGACAAACTGTATTTAAATAAACAAAAAAGTAAATATAAATATGCATGTGTATTGTCTGTGTACATGCATATCAAGTAAGTAAAACAGCCTTAGAGTAAAATAAAGCTTAACATCAGACAATGATTCTGAACCTGGGGCCAATTTAAATACAGGCATCAGGGAAGTAGTTTCCAACAAACAAAGTCATATTTAAGTAGAAACATGAATGTAGGATGGGGATGATTTATCTTAAATGTGTTAATGAGAATGAACTTTGTTTTAGATCTAGGTTTACATTCCTGAAAGAGCACTCTTGAAGTGAATACAGCATGGAGTGAAAGTCGTGACAATTAACAGAGCCGTGATGGTGAACTGGTTATGTGAAGTGAGCCACCGGTCCAAGGGAGAGATGCGGCTTCCTGCTCCTGTGATAGTTACACAGTCTCAGAAATGCACTGGGACAGTTTTAACCTGTCCGGGTTGCCGCGAGTCAGAATGGACTTGATGTCAGTGAGTAGCAGCAGTAGTAAGGGTATGGACTAAGCATTGGACTGACTGCTCACCATAAGATCAGTAGTTCAATCTCAGTAGCTGCTCTGGAGGAGAAAGATGAGGCAGTCTGCTCCCATCAATTTTACGTTCTCATAAACCCAACATAGGGACAAAGGTACCTTCTCTCTGGCAAATGAAGAAACAGGCTTGTGAGAAGTATAGGAGGGAATAGAACTCTTCAACTTGCTATTATTTTTTTTTCTTTTTTCTTAATAAGCAGCTGGTACAATAAGTGGCTGCTCTTTGAGGTGTACCCTGAGATTTTAGACTCAGGGAAGCTTGAGTGAAATAGATGGATCAAGGAATTATTCACTCCCAAAAGTTTTATCAAGATTTCAATGGAGATTTCTATAGACATTTACTCCAAAATTTTCTCTAGGAAACATGTACCATGTATTAACAACATTCTTCGGTGTGTGATTTTAAGAAACCTGAAATTAAGAAGAAACAGGTCAAGAGACTTTCTCCCTACCAAAAACATTCAACACCTACCTGATGGCGCTGCTACATGATATGAAGTACTGTGGCTCATTACATCCCAAACTTATTCCAGAATAATCTTGGTTTGACCTTCTGTTTCTGCTTCTCATTTCTGATGCCTGACCTCCCGAGCCCCATCTTGAACAGCATCACTTACCTTAGTCATGATCATACTCCTACAGTATCTCTCCTGACTTCATTCTACTTGTCCACTCAACAAAGGAAAGTTTATACTTGTACTGCTGCAGGCTTTTCACTTCCGGCCCAACTCCCACACAACCACTCATCCCTAGGGTCGAGGAAGAAGTTCCTCTTCTTTGCAAAGAACAGTTAAGCCTCTTGTGACTTTATTTCTGAACCTTGGGATATAATTCTAATGTATTCCATTAATCTTCTCTAACCATCCTCACAGGTCTATACCAGAACTTCACTTTCGCCTAATAGAATTAAAATCTTTTTCAAATGTTGGCTTTGAGTTACAATTAGTGAACATAATTGGAATTGTATGATACAACCTAGCGAAATGTGTATAAAATAAGAAGTATAAAATCAATGGAATTTCTAAATGTTAGTAACTAGTAGTGACTGTGAGGCTTTCAAGATTTTCCGTGACCCACAACTCTGGGATTATAGGACACATGACCAGTTATGACCTTTTTAAAATGTTCTAGAAATTTGTTAGCTATTAGAAATTCACATATCCTGGGAAGAGCAATAGACTTTCCAGTCACCTATTATATATTGTGGAGGGAGACCAGGCTTTCTACTGCTATAAAGAGTTACTGTCTTGGAAACCCCTAAGAGCAGTTCTACCTTGATCTATAGAGGAGCTCTGAGTAGGAATTGATTTGATGGCAGTGAGTTTATGTTTTTAATTTTTTTTATTTTACATATTGCACTCTGAAATCATACAGAGCCTCTACCATCCCCTCTTCTAGGAACTATGAGAAGAGTGGCCTGTGAGAAGCAGCCCTACTCTACTGTGTCAGTATTTGGAGCTCATATATTTCTTCCCTTGTACTTTTCCTTCAGACAAATATAGATTAGTTTCCTACAGTGTAGACCAGGGGTTGGCATGTCTTTAAGATGGCAGAGCCAATCCTGTCCCTGACAACAATTTAAAAGTTATTTGAAAGCCATAAATATAGTTTTACAAACCAATGAAATCACTATTATCTGAATAAGATGGTATAAAATTTTTCAGTTGTATTCAGAGTCACGTTCACGTAGAACGAGCCTCATATGGCTCAAGTCACAGATTGAAAACCCCTGTTCTACACCATGGGAAACGAATCTATATTTGTGAATAGATGAACTAGTTTACCAAACTGCACAACAGAGGGGTTGGTGTACACCAAAACTGAAAACCAAACCCACTGCCCTAATGTGATTATGACTCACAGGACAGATTATGAGTGCAGGAGAGAGAAGAACTGCTCCTTTGGTTTTCTGACACTTTTCACGGGAGTAGAAGCCTCACCTTTCCTGATTCATGAACAGAGGCTGGGAATTCTCACAGAAAGAGTTGACCCACGTTAGTAAATGCAATAGAAACTGAGAAGCCTGTGACAAATACAAGGATAAGACAAATGGAACAAATACTAGAGAATTTAATCTTTTTCTGCCATGTCGGTTATAATTAGTCTGGTCTACTCTGTCATCATTCTTCCAGTATTGGTTGGACTTGTAACTCATTTGTTGCCAATTTTCATAGTATGCTGTAGGAAACAAAGTATTTCTCTGAGTTCCCAACCTACTGGTAATCTTAAAGGCTAACTCTAATTTATCATTCTGACCATTACCCCAAGAAGTGACCTCCATCAGGAACTCAAAACTTTTAAATTCTTACAGTTGAAAACCTTGCCATGGATATTAGAGATGACACTAGTGGATAGTTAACAATGAAGTGGTGACTACTTCCGTGGTACAATCTACAAAGGATAGTTTTACTCGAGGTGTGTATAAGACAAGTTGATCACTCAAACTGTCAGAAAAAAGAAGTGAACAGAAACACACAATGTGTCTTTGTGTCAGCCTTTCCAATGTTCTCCTGTTCCCAATATCTGTTCTAATGGAGATATAAAAATAGGTAGCTTTAACACAGAAAAAATTATTTTCTCACAAGTATTGTTGGTGTTGTTAGGTGCTATTGTGTTGGTTCCGACAGATGATGACCCAATATACAACAGAACAAAACACTTCCAGTCCTGTCCCATCCTCATAATTATCTATTCCTACGTTTAAGCCAACTGCGGCAGCCACTTTGTCAATCCATCTCATCAGGGCTCCTCTTTTCCACTGACTCTCTACTTTCTCAAACATGATCTCATGTCCAAAGTAGGGGACGCGGAAGTATTGCAGTCCTCACTTGTAATGAGCATTCGGTTGTACTTCCTTCAAGAGAGAATCGTACAATCTTGTAGCAGTATTTTCAATATTCTTCTTCAACACAATCATTCCAATGCATCAAATCTTATCTGGTCTTCACTTTTAATTTTCCAATTTAGACATGTGTATGAAGTGATTGGAAATATCATGGCTTGATGTGGCTAGTCTCCAAAGTGACAGCTTTGCAAGTTAAAGAGTTATTTTGAAGCAGATTTGCACAGTAAAATACATTGTTTGTTTAATTGACTGCTGCTTCCATGTGTGTTGATTGTGGATACAAGGAAAAATAAATCTTTGACAGCTTCAATATTTTCCCAATTTAATCAAATTATGTCTCCAGTCTAGGACTTGTGGGCAGAAAGCTGAAAGTTCAACTTCAGAGGGCCAGCTCTAAAGGAAGGCTTTCTCTCTCTCTGTCTCTGTCTCTGTCTCTCTCTCTCTCTCTCTCTCTCTCTCTCTCTCTCTCTCTCTCTCTCAGCTTTGTCAAAAGTCCTTGTCACTTTTGAATGTGTGTTCCTTGGCAATTTTCTTGTAGCTTTGCATCTATTACCCTTCATTTCTCCTTACGTCTTCGTTCTATCTATTTTTTTATGCCTCAAGATAGAGTGATTTAAAGAAAATGTTTTGGAAATGTTGATGGAACTTACATACAAATGTGTTCAATACAATTAAATGTTGGATTGTTATAAGGTTTGTAAGAGCCCCCCCCAATAAAATAATTAGTTAAAAAAAACATACTCTACACTACAGGTGATTCATTAACATAACAATGATGATCAATTCCCAAATTACATTGTAACATTAATTTTACTGGTTTGGATGTTCAACACATATTTTAGGGGGATATAATTCAACCCATAACAGATAAATTATTAGACAAATAAGCAACTTGCCCGACTCACTTCTGATTAGTTTGGAAACAGAAAATAAAGTCATTGCGATTGAGTCAATACCGACTCCTAGCGACTCAGCACAGGGTAGAACTGCTCCTGTGAGTTTCTGAGACGTTCACTCTTTACAGGAATTGAAAGTCCTGCCTTTCCCCTGTGGAGCAGCTGGTAGTTCCAAACTGCTGATCTTAGGGTTAGCAGCCTAACGAATAACCACCACACCACTAGGACTCCTTTTAGTTTGAAAAGGTCACATTTAAATGGAACAGTACTGCTAGGATGGTAATTAATCTCATTAAACATAAGTTGCTTCCAGCTTATGTTTAGAAGGAAACACTGTCCAGTTTGGTGCCATCTGCCCGATTGTTATGTATGGGTCAATTGTTGTCACTACTTTGCCAATTCATCTTGAATTGGATTGAAGAGAGATCCTTAAAGAGGCTCTTTCTCTTTGTCACTCTAGCACACAC